GTGGCTCTCCAGGTGTGGCCCCCCCGGAGCCGTGGCTCTCCAGGTGTAGTCCCCAGACCCGAGGCTCTCCAACTGTGGTCCGGAGGACCAGGCTCTCCAGGTGTGGTCCCCAAAACCCTGGCTCTCCAAGTGTGGCCCCCAGAGCTGTGGCTTTCCAGGTGTAGTTCCCCAGACCTGTGGCTCTCCAGGTGTGGTCCCCAGACCCATGCATCCCCAGATGTGGTCCCAGGAACCACGGCTCTCCAGGTGTAGTTCCCCAGACCGGTGGCTCTCCAGGTGGGGTCCCCAGACCCGTGGCTCTCCAGGTGTGGTTCCCAGGGCCATGCCCTTGTGGAAACACACATTTCTGGTCCAGTCCCAGCCCTGCTGAGCCTGAGCATGGGTGGTGTGTGGTGTCTGCTCTTAGGTCCCACCATCCTGCAGAGGACTGAATGCAGCTCCAGTCTGAGAGCCGCAGCCCAGACTCCACAGGCCTTCACAGTGTGTGCTCTTTCCATGACATAACTGGAACCATCTGATCTGCTACATAGTTTGTAGCTTTGGTTTTAAACTGAAATCACTCTCATTGTTTCTTCTATGACAAATGCATGTACTCCAAGGCGTATGCATGCCCTGCTTTTCTTTCTGCATTATATTTTATTTAGCAGAATATTTCCCTCCCTCCAACCCTCAGTTTTTCTGCTCAGCCTAGGATCCCAGTGGCCTTTTGGGTCTGGGCTTCCAATTGTGAAAAGTTGTGGCTGCTATTCCCATCCTGGCTTCCAGGAGAGGTCTTGGGTGCTGCAGCCATGCTGATTTTTCTTTTTTCTTTTTCTTTTTTCTTTTGGGGACACAGTTTTTGCTCTGTTGCCCAGGCTGGAGTGCAATGGCGCAAATCTCAGCTCACTGAAACCTCTGCCTCCTGGGTTTAAGCGATTCTCCTGCCTCAGCTTCCAGAGTAGCTGGGATTACAGGCATGCACCACCACACTCAGCTAATTTTTGTATTTTTATTAGAGACAGGGTTTCACCATGTTGGCCAGGCTGGTCTTGAACTCTTGACCTCAGGTGATCCACCTGCCTCAGCATCCCAATGTACCAGGATTACAGGCATGAGCCACTGCCCCCGGCCTGATGTTTTTCTTCGTAAGTGGGTTTTTCTATTACTTGCCGCTGCCCAAGCACAGATGGTGACTTACCAGTGCTGTCAGAGCAGGTGACTATTGTGAAAGTCATCGTAATTATCAGGTGAGACCGGGAAGAATCCACGTGCACCAGGGTGGGGTGCTTCGCCCTGAGCTGTGGACCTCCACGAACGAGCTCCATCAGTCTCGAGGTGCTGCCAACCACCCTCCAGATGAGGCAAGCAGTGGAGAACACAGTGCAGGTGGAGAACACCGTGCAGGTGCCCCCCTGACCCAAGGCGACTTCTGGTCCTCCTCGGCTCAGGGAAGCGTCTCACATGAGCCACACACACTGACAGGGGCTAAAGCCAGCCTTGGGCACAATAAAACAGCAAACTTTTTCCTTTAGAGGCCTAACCAGCCTGTTACATCTCTAATTGCTTACCCTGAAATAATGGACTGTTTTGGAACAAAATCAGAGGTTGCTACCCTTTCCAACATCAACTATTCCTTCATTATAGCCTCCAGGAACAATGTTTTCAAAAATATTTTGTGTATCAAATCTGATTTACAAAATAAAGGTTTAGCCCGTTTCCCCATGGAAGGAGATGAACTAAGCCTGCTGATCAGAGCTCCTTTTTTTCTTATCTTTTTAGGTGGAGTCTTGCTCTGTCTCCAGGCTGGAGTGCAGTGGCGCGATCTCGGCTCACTGCAACCTCAGTCTGCCAGGTTCAAGCGATTCTTCTGCCTCAGCCTTCCGAGTAGCTGGGACTACAGGTGCATGCCACCACGCTCAGCTAATTTTTGTATTTTTGGTAGAGACAATGTTTCACCAGGTTGGCCAGGATGGTCTCCATCTCTTGATCTCGTGATCTGCCCACCTCGGCCTCCCAAAGTGTTGGGATTACAGGCGTGAGCCACTGCGCCTGGCCAATCAGAGCTCTTAATCAGCAGGAGATAACATTTCCACCCCAGTCTGCCAGTCAAAGGCTCAAAGTTTGAGTGACTTTGTGTAACTGTATAAGCATTTCATGGATGACTTCCTTCAGCTCTGTGAAATATCCAGCGTGGCCGGCAGGCCCTTCCCTTGCTGCCTCGGGCCGAGGATGGACACCTGTGCAGGCCCTCACTCATGGGGAGAGTTCCCTCTGTCACCTCCAAGCTGCATCCCCACTGGGGCAAACCCAGCACATGTGTGTGGATTTAAAAATAGGCAACTTTGAGGAAAATACTTAATATGGGGATCCGCACCTTTACAAGAGGATTCATTATCATATTCTAGAAAATACTGATATTTACAAATGCAAAGGAGCTCATCTCTCCTAGCCTGAGTGGTGTGGCAAGTTCTTTCACTTCCACAAGCCTGCTTCCTCATCTGTGAGATGGCATGACACCCATCTGATAGGCTCTTATGAAGATTTTTTTAAACATACATTTGATTGTGGCCGGGTGCGGTGGCTCATGCAGTAATTCCAGCACTTCGGGAGGCCAAGGCAGGCAGATCACGTGAGGTCAGGAGTTGAAGACTAGCCTAACCAACATGAAGAAACCCTGTCTCTACTAAAAACTCACGATTAGTCAGGCGTGGTGGTGCATGCCTGTAATCCCAGCTACTCAGGAGGCTGAGGCAGGAGAATTGCTTTAACCCAGGAGGCAGAGGTGGTAGTGTGCCAAGATCTCACCATTGCACTCCAGCCGGGGCAGTAAGAGCAAAACTCTGTCTCAAAAAACAAACAAACAAAAAACACAAACAAACCAAAAAAGATACATTTGTTTGTTTAGCTTAATTTTGATTGTAAAAAATAAAGCCTGTAATCCCAGCACTTTGGGAGGCCGAGGCGGGTGGACCACGAGGTCAAGAGATCGAGACCATCCTGGTCAACATGGTGAAACCCTGTCTCTACTAAAAATACAAAAAATCAGCTGGGCATGGTGGCACGTGCCTGTAATCCCAGCTACTCAGGAGGCTGGGGCAGGAGAATTGCCTGGACCCGGGAGGCGGATGTTGCAGTGAGCCGAGATCGCGCCATTGCACTCCAGCCTGGGTAACAAGAGCGAAACTCCGTCTCAAAAAAAAAAAAAAATTTTTTTTCTGTTTGTTTTACTTTTATCTCTAACAGCTTTAAGATATTAATGACATATGAGAACTGTATCTATTTAAGCTATACACCTTGATATTTTGCTATATATATACATTGTGAAATGATCACCCATTCCAGCTAATTAACATATGTCACCCCGACACAGCCACCTTTAAAGAAAGATCATTCCTGCAGCAAATTGAGACAAAGCATGAAAACATGTAAGGAACCATTCACTGACAGGGAGCACTGATGGGGCCACCACACTGATTCCACTCAGGACCTTCGGGCGTGGGGAGCTCATGGAGAGATGTGCAGCCTCCTGACGATGAGGCAGGTGCGGTTCCCACTCAGAGGCCAGCAGCACAAGGCAGGTGCGGTTCCCACTCAGAGGCCAGCAGCACAAGGCAGGTGCTGTTCCCGGTCAGAGGCCAGCAGCACGACCTCTATCCGGCTATCCTTGGCTGTCATCACCTCATGCTTGACCCCTGACACAGCTACAACGCTGTCTTTGGCCAGAAGGTCAAAAACATCATTATTGTAAACTTCCACGATGGAGACTCCAACCTTTGGGATTCTTGAGGGATTTTCCGAAATAAGCCTGGAGGGAAACACACAGGGAAACTTACAGAAAGTCTCACAGAGTGATTTTCAGTGCAAGCCAATCACAGCCCCACATGCCCTAGAGGATGCTTAGTAAAATGCTGGGGTCCGAGCAGGAGGCTGCATGTCACTCACCCCAAGATCACCTGGGGAGAGGGGTGTGCTATGTAGGTTGTAGGGTGAATATGTGTCTTGGGAACAGTGATTTTATCAGAGTTATATTTAAACCAGCGCCTTTGCAACCAGTACACTGAAGACCCACAGAGACTCAAGGCAAGCTGCAGAGACGTTTGGGCCTCTAGCAGTTCCCAGTGATGGGGTTTGTTTATTTTAAAACGTTTTCCACTTCAGGGAAGCTTGAATCCAGAGTTCTTTATTCCAATTCCACTTGTGCCTTCCACCTGAGACCCTCCTGCAAGACCCATAAAACCAACTCAGGCCCTTTAAAAAGCAGCTGCACGTGTTACTTTTCTCCATGTTTTAAAGAACTACATGCTGACCGCAGGAATGTTTTTAAATAAAGATACTACACTCAGAGAGAGAGAAATAAAACCATAATCCCACAACAAGAAAAAGCTGAGCGCTGGCCCTGGACTCCCTCCCTTCCCTCTCTCCTCCCACGGGCTTTCTGGTTTGTCTCTTTGACAAAACACCCCTCCCGACCTTGTCAGCAAGGAACAAAGGACACTTTTGGTCTGCTGGAGGTGACCACCTCTCTACCACCTGCACAGCGGAGGCCATCCGACAGTGAGCCCTGCACTCTTCCTGTTCCTAAGGCTATTCTGAGAATGCCAAGTGGACCCAGGGAAAAGCCAGCAGGGAGATTTCCCACCCAGGTGCTGCCAGGCTGAGCTTTTCATCCAGATCTAGAGGGGTTTTGTCTTCGAATGATAAACAGTAAAGAAAACACAAAGACTAAAATGAAAGAGAAAGTAAGTCAAACCCTCAGGTAAAAATCATGACTGGCAAAGCGTCAAGATTTGTATTACACAGGCTCAGCACTGGGGTTTGCTGAGAACATTCTAAGAAGAGCGTGTGCAACAGTGAAAAATGAAGTTAGCTAAGCTGGAGATTTTATTTTACTTTTTATTTATTTGTTTATTTTTGAGTCTTGCTCTGTCACCCAGGCTGGAATGCAATGGTGTGATCTCGGCTCACTGCAACATCTGCCTCCCAGGTTCAATTGATTCTCCTGCCTCAGCTTCCTGAGTAGCTGGGATTACAGGCGTGTGCCACCAAGCCTTGCTAATTCTTGTATTTTCAGTAGAGACAGGGTTTTGCCATGTTGGCCAGGCTGGTCTCGAACTCCTGACCCCAGGTGATCCACCTGCCTAAGCCTCCTAAAGTTCTGGGATTACAGGTGTGAGCTACCGTGCTGGGCCTAAGCGGAGATTTTACGTTTCCATCCTCTCCACACATTAGGCAAAATGCACCACAGACCCAGAAACTGAACCTCAGCACTTGGGCCCACCCTTTCATGTGACAGTTTGTCTCTTTGAGTGTCACAAAACCTAAGTTAGAAATTTCTCAGCTATGTAATACCGAGGAGTTAATTCAAAAGGTTCCCCACCAATAAGTACTGGGCTGCTGAGTAGATTCTAGGGACAATGGTGAAAACCGCAAGCTTCAGTCTTAGCCTTGAAGAAGCAAAGCACTCAGCAGGTGAGGCACGCACGCACGGGACTCCAGGTTGTGCGAGAAATGTGTGATGCAAACGCACATGGCTCCCCTGACTTCCGGGGAGGGGAGTGAGGGGGGCGGGGCTATACATTGCCTCCATCCCCTGCTCCTGTGCATTTCCTGCTGGGTCATAATTACCACTCTAGACCACTCTTTAAGAGCATAAAATTGATCACATGCACCTTTGGGTCCCCAGTGCCTTTCCCGGTGCATGGCAGACGGAGGAACATCGCTCACTCCTGTGGATGACGATGGCAGTGGAGACCAGTTAGGGCGTGGCGTCAACACCCAGGTGTAGACGGAAGGAGATGGGCGTGCAGAGCCAAGCAGCCCAGGCAGCGGCACCAGCAGGAAATGCCTCCTCTGCTGACTTCAGCAACCTAAGAGCAGTTGTTTTCAGGGTGAAGTGCTCCTGACAGCACTGATGTCACTGTAGTTTTGTATGATCTTCGGCACGGGCCGTTTGCGCTTTGATTCACAAACACCCAAGCTCACCCCTGGCCCCGGCCCAGCGCACCCCTCTCTGGGTCTCATGCGGGTCCACGTCTGCCCCAATTCTCATTTCTGCAAACGATGAAAGTGAGGTTTCGGGAAGTCAGGGCCTTGCCCAGGGCCACTCACTTGGAAGAGCAGAGATAGACTCAGACGGAGGAATTCCAGAGCCACAAATCACTGTGCCATGGTGGGAGGCGCTCAGCACCACGACTCGGAATAGCAAAACAGAAAAACCATTTTAGAAATGAGGCACTGAAACACTGGCCAATAATGCCACTGGCCAATTGGTAATGCTGATGAGAGGCCTAGCTGCCCGCCCATTGATAATGCTGATGAGCCGTTTCTGGAGAGGCCCAGCCGCCTGGCCCGTT